GTCAAGTTCACTTGTGCCTCTATTTATAATGTTGACTTAACCAAGGCAGGGAATTACGTTTAACATATGTAATAATATCGCTCAAAAACCGGATCGGACATCGATTTATTTTGGTAACAAACACATACAACTTGGAAAATACATTTATGAACAAAAATCCCAGTTAAAATTATTTTTCTATATTTTTGACTTGTAGTGGATAATCACCAGGGTTTGAAACACGTTTGTTGCATATATGCAGTTGATAAAATATGACTGGGATTCCCGGTTGTAGTTTCTATGTTGTTAGGTACGTGGACACGTGATTTCTCTCTTTAGGTTGAGTCGGCACCCATACTCCTCTTCTACCGTGTCATAAGAAAACCTTTATTTCTATATTTATATTTATAATTCTTTATTTATAATCAGTGGTGTGCACGCGTTTTCGAGAAAGGGTAGGCAACTAAATATTGTACGATTAACAGGTCATACAATGATACTCACACAAGATAGGTACATTAGGTACATTACAAAAAGGCTGTTCAAGAATATTATGGTTTATTCGTTCGCCAAATTACATACACTGACATCTCGCGTATTTTTTGTGAAGTACTTCATCAATTATCGAATAAGCCAACTTACTAATAATGAAGCATACATTTAATGAACCAAATTCAATTATCGAATTGTTAAGTTTGATCAATCTATTCAAAATCATAATATATTACTAATTTAAGAACAGTAGTAAGTACCCACATATGTAGTAGTAGTAGTTATGTAGGTACCTAGTAGGCACCCACATTATGTCAACAAAGAAAACAATAACAAGCGCGGCCGGCTGTGGCCGAGGCGAGTATAAGCGGTACATTTGTTATTACATAATTATTAATAATAAATTAATATGTAAATCAGTAGAATCCGCTGATGATATTTTTTTTTAATTTTCAAACAATAAACAAAAAAAAAACAACAATACAAGTTTTGCTAGGAACCACACAGCTAGATAAAAGATCCATATAGTACATATTTACATTACCTACCTTTTACTTGGTATAATTCTCGTAACTCGAGTACACCCCTGCCTACGGTCATTACCCTGTTTTTAACTTTCAACAAACACATAAAATTACCTTTTATCAACATAAACTTCACAATCGAATAATATAGGTACTTATACTAGACACTGATAAACAAATACACTATTTGAAAAACCTACACATATATTTAACTACGTCCTACCGACACGACAAATACGACCGACACGACAAATACGACCGACACGACAAATACGACCGACACGACAAATACGACCGACACGGCAAATACGACCGACACGACAAATACGACCGACACGACAGATACGACAGATACGACAAATACGACCGACACGACAGATACGACCGACACGACAAATACGACCGACACGACAAATACGACCGACACGACAAATACGACCGACACGACAAATACGACCGACACGACAAATACGACCGACACGACAAATGCGACAGATACGACAAATACGACCGACACGGCAAATACGACCGACACGACAAATACGACAGATACGACAAATACGACCAACACGACAAATACGACCGACACGACAAATGCGACAGACACGACGGATACGTCCGACACGAGCGATGCGATCGACACGACCGACACGACAAATACGACCAACACGACATATACGACAAATACGACCGAAACGACAGATACGACAAATGCGACAGATATGACCGACACGACAAATACGACAGATACGACAGACACGACAGACTCGACAAACAAGACAGATACGACAGATACGACAGACACGACAGACTCGACAAACACGACCGACACGACAGATACGACAGATACGACAGACACGACAGACTCGACAAACACGACCGACACGACAGATACGACATACACGACCGACACGACAGATACGACCGACAAGCCAAGCCAAGTACACAAAGCCTCTTTGCCTATACGGACTACACGCCACTGAAATGTAACTTTATTAAAACCAACCAAAAAACCACTTACCTACATGTAAAACCTATGAAATCATTAGGTAATGAAGTCAGTTTTCGTCTATTATCAGGGTCACAGATCCTAAGCATCTGCTGGAGCTACGAGACAGAACTGTTGGTTGGCTTACGAGCCAGTTCCGTGGTAGCCTGGTGCTGTCCCCGAGCGGCCATGCAGCCAGACTGGCTTGCTCTTACCACTGTCAGTAAGGATGTCGTGTGAGTAAGGTTACCTATCTCCTACTAAGACCGCTAGCTCATAGCTCAGAGAACCGACGGCTACTGGCGCAGGAAGGTTCTCGAATGGGGGGACCACGTACAAGTAAACACAGCGCAAGACGTCCATGACGGATACAAGGGGGATGTACAACCTAATTTAGGTCAGGAGCCGCTGAATGCAGGTCGCTGCCAACCTATCAGAAAGTGATTAGGAGTAGCCTATGTTCAGCAGTAAACTTCTTATAATAAGACCATTTTATTATGCCCAGTTAGGTATAACAATTAAACTGTCAAACACCAAGCGGTCACCGGTGACCGCAACCTATCGTTCTATAATTGTGTCTGCAAAACCGGTACTCGACGAGTATACTGATTTATCAATCATCTTTTATCTAGTACCTACATAAATATGATAAAATTTGTAATATTTAAGGGACCTTGGCAGAAATCCGACGATTCTAAGTGTTGAAGATGGAGTCGCGCATATTTGCAGAGGCAATGGTTCAATACTGCATCTGTCTATTGCCGCGTTCCCTGAAAAGTTACTAAAACACGTAGTTGCCAACATGTGGCAGGCTGCTCTACAGGTAAGACTAGTAAAATTACTCTTGTACCATCTATAAGTATTGTAGATATAAACTTGGGTGGACCATGAGCCACCAAGGAGCCGGCTCGACCGGAGTGATGACGGCTTCACAGAAAACTGGCGTAAAATAACGCTTGCGTTATGGGTAGAAGTGTACCTAATCCACATATATTTAACCCCCATACGGCTTCAATATACTTGTAAATCCTTTATCATTGCGAGTGTCAATGGACGCGACATCGTTTACTTATCATCCAGGTGCTTGAAAGTCTCCTCGTGGTTTCTCTATTATATACTGAATTTAATTAGCTACCTGCTTGTGTTTGGCGGCTGGACTTCTCCCAGTTGCTGTACAGTCTCTTTTTGTACTTTTAGGCTTAATGAATTGAGAATTCTTTCTGTCTCCTGCAGTAATTCAGCGAGGGAAGTGGAAAATATCGTTCTTTTTTCTTCTCCTCTTATCCTTTTATCTGTTTAAACATCGGCTCCTGGTATAAAACACATTATACCCGTAACTTTCAACAGACAAGAGGTTATAATATCTTCTGATTTATTTGTTGTGGGAACCAAGACAGTTATTCATGTCCCTGGGACGCGCCGTATTACTGTTCTGGTGTTTTCATAGTTCCATCTACTGTAGATCCTGGCTTACAGGAGTTGCAGCGGTTCTGGGAGGTTGACCCAAAAAAAGCTACATACTTGTCTAGAGAGTGTTCAGTTTACCATATGAGTACCTAAGCCTAAAACCAAACTAAACAAACTTTTTAGAATCTTTCTAATTTTTACTTTTACTCAGCTGTGTCGTACCGTCGAAGATGAAACACTCTGGGCTTGTCTAGCGGTGCTAGCGTGGCAACACCATCAACTGCCGGTAGCTGAAGAAGCATTCGCCTTGATACGACAATACCATCAAGTCTGCTATATTCAGCATCTTAGAGTAAGTACTTTTACTAGTTAAGGCAGGCAAATATGGCAATTTAGAAATATAAAGGATAAATAATTTATATCCTACACTAGGTTCAGCCCACGGTTTCGCCCGCGTTTCCGTGGACCAAAAGTAATCTGTGTTATTCCAAACCTTAATCACTCAGTGTTCTAAATTTCATCACGATCCCTTCAGCCGTTTTGACGTGCTTGAGTGACACACACAAAAGATAGATTTGTTTTTGATATGGTTTCAATTTTTTCTGTGAACTTTTTATTTTTTATTTTTCAGAGTAACATTCCTGAAAAGCTGACAGCTAATTAGTTCATAGTTTTGAGTGTTTAATAAACAGTACCTTACTATCTAAATAAAAATACCTGTTACCTATTAAATTATGTGAAACAGAATCTAATTTAGTTATTTTGAAGAAAGTTCCTTTCTTGTTGGGGATTTATTTAGCATTGAATACTTAATACTTTCCTGCCTATTTATTGTTGCTGTAGGTAAACCTAGTTACCTAAATATTATATTTAGGTAACCATTCAGTACCTACCTACTTAAATGTAATAATCGTTAATTCCAAGACCTTTGTTAAATATGTCCTGTACGTAATTTTACTCATCAGGTACCTGCGTAGGTACAGTTATCTAATTTATTCGTGATAATTTGTCCAAGATCAAAATGCACATCGAAATGTATGCAGCTGCATTTTGTTGTTTTGTGGTAATAAAATTTATTAAATATCCAAGTGTATTTTTATTTTCCTATCCATATATTACCTGAATCTAGGTAGGGCTAGGTTTTTTATGGCATAAGCCTGTAAACGGGTCGACCTGATGGTAATTGGTAATTGGTAAGCAATCGGCGCCGCCCATGGACATCTAAAACACCAATGCGTTACAAGTGTGTTACCGCCCTTTTGAGAATTAGGAATCTGAGGATTGTGGAGGGTTCGGGGATTGGGGAGACTGAGGAGGGGGAGGAGGGGGTCTCCGGTAACTTCACTCACACGACAAAACATTCGTGCCGAAGCATGGCGAAGTGTGGGAACACTTAAACTGGTATAGATTTTAATCCGGAATCCGGATACCTTGACGTTATGCATCTACTTAGGTGAAAATACGAATCTAGTCGACCAAGCTCTACTTAACAAACATTTAACAAAATACCTACATAAGATACTCGATAGGTATACTCGTAACAGTACCTACCTTTATTTATTTATCATTTATTTGATAAAGAAGATTTCATAATTTAAAAACCAAAGTTAGTTTTGAAACCGTAAGATAAGTTGAACAATAACCAGTTGTTCATTCGTTTGTACGATAACTTCATTCAATCATTCACCGTCTTCCGCCATTCTCGTTCATTTCCATTCAGTTTTTCTGTCAACGCTATCTTGAGTGGACGTGTTGAGTGTCCGCGCATCGGCGTAATTAACTTCGATACAAAAATATTTATTCGGTAGCAAAATTGTAAATAAAACGTTTTGTATAACTAAAAGTTACTTTAATTTGCTGTCGCCATTGTGTGCAATATCGCTTTCTACGCCAGCAATGCGTACAGCGCGGTGTCCTACATTAAAAACATAGGTTACCGAAAGAAAGTTTTAAGTTTATTTTTTTGTGTGTAATGTGAAAATGTTGAAGATGGGTGTTTTGAAGGTGGAAATAGTGTTGTTACTGAACTTGTTGGTAGTAAGCGGAGACGTGTATAATAACGAAGTGAGTGAACATTCTCTGGAGTTGACTCAGTCCTTGAACTTGGCGCGACAAGAGTTGATTCAAGAGACGTGCCGACATTTCCCTCCGAAGTACGGTTTGGATGAGCTTCCACCGAGCCAACTGGAGCATATCTTAATAAACGAAGAACACAAACTTCTGTACTGCTATGTGCCAAAGGTGAGTTTTTCAAGGCAAACTGGATATTTATAGCTTTACAAAATATTCGTCAACTTAGGTAAGTAGTTACCTACTTGTCTAATGTTAAATAATAACATTGTCATTTAAATGTTCATCATCAGAGGTAATTCGTAAATAATAATAGCTCTATCATTTTCATTTAAATACATATAAGTATCTCTCAGGATGTTTTTGATTTAGCTGTACTTACCTACTGAAACCATTGCCGGTTTTTAAGAAGGGATAAGCAGGTAGGTACTAATTATGTAGGTACCTATTTAAAAAAGAAATAAGATTCACTTTATCAGGTACTTCTATACCTGTCTGTACCTTCTCAAATCTCAACTTCATCAACTTTAGACAACTAGTGATTTTACACCAATATTTTTTTTTTCAATTTTAAAATCGAATGTAACTATGATGACAAGCAAATTCAGCCAGTACTTTAACTGCACTACCAGAATCTCTTAACAGCATAAAACTTAATCATTCTTTGTAGGTGGCCTGCACCAACTGGAAGAGAATCTTCATGATGCTATCTGGCAAGTGGAATGGCACAGATGTGTTATCCATCACTGCTAGTATAGCTCATACTCCTGGATTGTTCCGGGATTTAAGCAATGTGAGCAAAGCAGAGAGAGATTATATGCTAGAGAATTACAACAAGATGATCATAGTAAGGAATCCATTTGAAAGGCTGCTGTCAGCATTTAGAAATAAATTGGAAGGTGATACATTGAGTGCCAGATACTTTCAGGTGAGTTTCATAATTATATTGATCCTCTGTTTTTTTTTAAACTAACTAGGTAGGTAATTAATTATTCAATAAGTTATAGAGTATTTAGTAGTTGCCATCCTGTTTTTGAACTTTTTTTGAATTTATTTATTTATTTATTTATTCATGTACACAACACAGACAATACACAGAAAAAAATATATTTTATAACAAAACAGAGGTACATAGGTACTGCATATCCCTTATGGGATTTCTTCCTGCAGCCCTGCGAAAGGAAAAATAAATACAACATATGTATAATATTTATTTATATAATACCTAGGTAGCTTTAATATTATTTTAACTATTAATATTAACTAGACCTACCTGCCTACTTACCTACTTTTGTGTAAACAGTACTCTAAAACGGGGTGAATAGAATTCGAGGGGTGAATAGATACAGGCATACAGAAATGGGATGGATAAGTGTTAGACTATTTTCATTCTTTTTTCATTTATTCACCCCTCTTCTGTATCTATTCACCATGTGTTACTGTAACCATTAACATCATTTCAAAGATTTCAAACTTGATGGTTATTTCTCTAACTGCCATTTTTATTAATACCAGTTTATATTATTGTTACACTAGAAACTGCAAGATGTTTTGGAAAGATCTAGTTTAGTACACACTTTCTACCGTTTACTTAATTTTACATTTTTTTATAATTTATGTAGACGTAATTGTGTGCTTTCTCTACTTTATGAATCTGCACACTGACATTGAAGATTATTAGGTAAATTAAAATTATAATAGGTAACTATAAATCCTTATCAATTATTATCATGTTAAAACACGCAATAACTCTGATATCATATTGCTTAAGTGTACAAATTATGCTGTCTACTGACACATTATAGGTATTTTGATATTTAACAAGTTGCTTATAATTTGGATGATTTATTTGTGACTCTGAATATAATGATGCATTTATTTAGAGTACCTAGTTAAATGCATGTACATACCTCTTCGATCAACAATAACAACTAGATATCGGGTCGGCGCAAGAAAATCGTCTCGCCAAATAAGAGCTCACTTGAGAAGTGAGCTCTTATTTTGTTTAGTATGCTCCAAACACGGCCAACGTTCTCACGTCTCACGATGCCGCAGTGCGTGGAAAAATTATAACCGAAAAAGCAGTATAACGGCCGGAGTATCTTACTTTTGATAAGTACATAAAGTATAAGTTATATTTTAAGCTTTTGAACTAGTAAATAATAGCAAATTAGACAAAACTACCAATTATAAACCAACGCCACCAATGTTTGTACGTGTGTTGGCGATCCCTTGGCCAAGCCTCGCCAACACGAGCACAAACATTTGTTTAAACAGAACAGTGGATGCATGGAGTCGATTTGTATTGTAAAATAAAATTGTATTGTAACCTGATTGAAAAAGAGTATCTAACCTATAGAGTTTCTTGCTTGTTCTTCTCCATAGGAATCTACACCTTGGAATGAGCAAATAGCTTCACTTTTAAATTTATATTGTTGACGTTCAAAAGTGCCTTCCTGGTCTAACTGAAATAAATGATTTTGACTTAGACTTTTAATGATAAAGTAAATAAACATATCATATACAAAAACGTACCGCTAATAAAAATAAGTGATGTATACTAAGATCCCGAAATCTTAATTATCATATTATAAAATTATTTTAGTGCCCAACGCGACTCCATACATACCTCTTGTAGCAAAATTCGAAATTTGAAGAAGCAAAACGAAACAAAACAAAACGATATAGATCGCAAGACAATAATGGAAAAAATATCTTTATTTGTTCAAACTTAAGGTTGAATTCAAACTAGATATTGTATAACTTATGTCTTTTAATTTCTACATGACAGGAGTTTTACTTAATTCTTTTCTCGTCTTATGTGACGAATGGTCGTAAGTATTAGATAATATTTTGACGATTTATGACTATATTATTAGGTCCCATGGTTGTTATTAGGTTGAACTTAAAACTATTTTAAAACATTTTTCTCTGTTTGTTATTTTTTTACTATTAGGTATTATTCACACGGACGGAACTGGAGCTTGATTTTGTACGTAACCCTTTATCTAGTTGCTATTGTTGATCGAAGACATACCTACATACATATTATGTATTTTCGTTAATTTACGCCTTCGTCCCGTGAGAGTAGTAGAATCTACAGAGCGCCGTCTATCGCTAACTACCTATCACATTCATGCATCTAGCCTTAAAAAAATGACGAATTTGTGGGTTTATATCTAATGAAAGTTTATTTTTTGTATGTTTGGCGCATTGTATTATTCTCGACTGTTCGTATTGCTTCTGTGGCTAAAATGGCCTATGTCGAAGTGCTATACGACACTGTGTGCCACGATCACTTGGGGTGACGATTCTTGATCTTAGGTCTATTTTAATGCTTAATATCTAATTATTTAATAATGACGAGTCTATAACAATAATTATGTCAGATTAAAAAGCAAGCGTAGATCGTTAATCCTAGATCCTAGTTAATCTAGTCAAATGTAATGTCAACACCTAAATTGCTTAATTAATATTAAAAAAATCCACCAATTATAACTTGTTGGACTGTCTGACGTAATGTTGTTTTTGTTGCAGATTCCAAATTAAAACTCGTTTTGAATTTACTTTTTGCTCATCCTATCCTGTTCTAACAAACAAAGCAAGTTAGGAACAGGTGTGGTTCATTTTAATAGCTTTACGGCTAGTTTTAATAAACTTTTGTAATTTATATAAGGATAGGTCTTTGACACAAATTCCACTGCAGATCCTCTGCAATTCGTCAAAGAACAGTTCCAAAATCTAGATAGGGATAAATCTGCATTCGAAATCAACGTAGTGCATCTTGAACAGGAACTAAATTTCCATAACCTGTATGTTAGAATTCTACTCGTTATTAAAATATTTGATTGACGTCACGACGAAACCTAGTGTCACACCTGTTTTCGTACATGTCTCACACGTTAATTGTAGGAGAGCCATGCTTCGGCAAGAATGGTCCGGCTCGACCAGAGTGATATCACGGCCTCATAGAAAACCGACGTGATAGCGTTGTGTTTCGACGTGTGAGTGAGGTTACCGGAGGCCCAATTACCCTCCCTACCCTTCCCAATCTCCCCAAACCCTGAATCCCCAACAATCCTCAAATTCCTAATCCCTAAAAGTCCGTTAACGCACGTGTAACACTTCTAGTGTTCCGGTTGGCTATGGGTGACGCCGATTGCTTACCATTAGGTGATCCGACTGCTCGTTTACCGGCTTATCCAATAAAAAAAAACATGAAAGACACCAAAAGCTATTACTGGAACTAATTATTGGCATTTTAATTCCACGCTGAAATACACAAACAAATAAACAAAGCAAACATTTTACTAACTACTGCAGTTAAGTACCTGCCTAGTCAATTCTTGTCAATCCTATAATATTAAGGATTCCCGAGGTCAATGCTTCATGAAATTATATTGCATCGCTTTTAAAACAATGTGCAACATCAACTGATAGGGACATCCGTTCTAAGTTATTTTTACAATGATATTTTAATATAAATTATTTATAATGATGTTCTTTGTGTAATAGGTACTTTCTCTTCCAAGTTTTGTATTGTTGTTATAATTTTTCTTGCTGTTCATGATGGGATCGAAAATATCTAAAGTACCCAGTTTCGATTACATTGAACTGGTCCGGCACAATAGTCTTCTTTTTGTTCTGCTCTATAAGAATTTCCCTTGTTTCGTATAAAACCTTTATCAATCTTTCCATCTTTCAGTCGTCCTCTATCTTTTTATTTCAATATTTAGTCTATTATCCACAAGATGTTTTCTCTTTCATCACAAGTCTATACTAAGAAGGTCGGCCACCTTTCAGCTTCTCTGTAACCGACGCATCTTTCAGACTTTCTTTAACATAGGTATTCATTTCTTTCTTGTCACCATACACCCTGGAACATGACGGTGGAATCTAGGATGGTGCCCGATTAATAGGTAGAGACTGGCTCACCCTCAACTACCGACATGGGATTCTACAGAAACCTGGACAAAAGGGGCGTTACATGTACTTAAATGTGTTGCTACCGTTTCGGGGAATCAAAGGCATGATGCTATATACATAAATATGTTTATGTATTCAAAGAAATATTCCTCACGGCCTTGCGGTTGTTTTTGTACAAATTGATAATAATTTGGTCGTCATTACAGCCAGTTGACTTTTGGCTCTGGTCATTGATAATGGTAGCTATAAAGTATCCATGAACTTAGTTGATGAGATCAAATATTTGTAATGTCTATATCTAGACCACCTTTTGAATGTCGTCAATTGTTGCTTACTTGCCGGCTGGTGATATGACTCAACTGATGGGCATTTTTGGATCGTAACACAATATTTGATGTAGAAAATAATTTCAACACTGTCTAGTTCATTAATTTGTAATTACTGGGTTAGTTGATGTCTTATTGGGTTATCAATTGGTTGAATTTATACGTTTTATGCTGAGCAGGGAGTTACTGTTTGACAGTTTATGTAGATAGATATTATTTATAAACTGCCTCGTTGACCTAGTGGTCGGAAGTGCGACTGCCGGGCAAGGGGTTCGATTCCCGGGTCGGGCAAAGTATTACTGGGTTTTTATTTAATTCTCAGTAGTAGCACGGAGTCTGGAATTGTGCGCGATATATGGCAATAGGCCCACCCCCTATTACATGGGGCTCATAACATAAAATAGTGAAAAGTGGGTGCATTCTACAGTGGTTATAATATTTAGAAAAAGTAGGTAAATAATTACCTATATCAAAATTCATAGAGGGATACTGAATATTGATAAAATCTTTTACAGGACCGCATAGGAAGACGCATCATAAAGGCCTACCGCGAGAACCCATCGAATGAGTCTCTAGAGTATGGCCGTGACGTCACGTTTAAAGAGTTTGCGCTGTTCCTCACGAACCGGTCTGAGGAGATGGCTGATGTCGTGAACAACGAACATTGGCAGCCCATCACGAACCTGTGCCATCCTTGCCTGATCAAATACACATTAGTCGGTAAGTCACATTTTTATAATAACTAGCTTTTTGGTGCAATTTTCATGGAATTTAGGGCATTTCTTACGAGACGGTATTGATGACATTGTTGTAATATTGGGATCGAATGTCGCTTCTATAAAAGTAACCTCTAATCGCTCCGGTTATGAGATAATTATGGTTAACGTTAAAATTCAAGAACGCCGATAAATATCAAGACAAATTCGAAAAGAATCGCTCATTAGTAAATTAAATGTGGAAAAATCAAGTATACCAACTTAATTCGTTATTGAATTGAATGCAATATTAATAACTTTATAACGTATACCGCCAACACAGATGTTCATCTACCATAGTTACCATGTCATTAACCTTTTAGGGTTCACGCCGTTGTGGTCTGTAGACAGACCAATGTTCCATAATAATTTTCTATTGTACTGTCCAAAGCCATGTCGATAGAAATATTTTTTAAACTGCTAATCAAAGAACTTGAAATACAAATTGAATACGACTAATCGTTAAAGTATTATCGTTATAAAAACTGTGCCGGACAAAATTCGCCGTGGCTAGAGGTCGCCACAGTCTAAAATAAGTTTTTCATGGTTAACTATAATCATTTGTACTGTTATGATTGTAAGTACGATAGTGAAATTATACTACTATTGAAAACGGGAAAGTGTTATGGGGATTTCCGGATGCTTTTTATTCCTTTATTAAACAAAATTAGCGTACATCTGAATTAAAACCTATTATAAACCTACATAGTTTTTATTATAGGCCACTGTAGGTAGGAAGTAGGAACTTGTAAATGTTTAAATAAACTTTGAAAAATGGAATTGGTAGTTGTATCAACCGGATCATCAACATAGTTACCTATGTACGTCCTTGTACGTTTTTATGTAGTTCTAAAATTTTCGTGTCCTGTCGTCCGTGCATAATCATAGTGTGGCATTGAGACGGTAATGGTTTTCAGTATTTTCGAAGGTAATCATCAAAACACATGTCTACCAAATTGCAATATTGACTTCAAAGTTGCAAAATAATTTATAGAATTATCATATTTGTACAGCCGTTAAAATGAGTATTTAAAGTTAATTAAAATGCATATGTATTTATGGACATAGGTGTTTACGAGTAGTAATCGGAACATGTAATGAAAGTGCATAGTAACATAACATTAATTGCTACAGAGAGGCCAAGCAACACGTTTATTGGCCTTAATTTAAACTATTTGACACATACGTCATGGTCCTTTGATAGAACTGCTAGGCTCGACATCACTACGGTATTTTGCTGCTGGTGTTATAAGCCTTAACAGCAAACCGCATAAAAGCCGCGAAAATTCAATGCACGAATTTACCCCTCCCCCCACGAAAATTCTCCCCATGGTTCGTTCCAGGGAGTTGAGGGAGTCTACCTCTTAGGTAACTACTTTTTAGCAAAAATAAAATGATTATGAACGTATTCAACAATGCATAGTACTACCGCGACCTAGTGAAATTCGAAGATACAGATAATTATGCTGATAGAGTTAATACATTTATCTAAGACTACATTGATATCAAATTGCCAATTGTACCCGGATATGCACTATGATTTTAATGTGTTTCGAAGACATCTTTGTTTTAACATTTGGTTCACCACAAACAGCTAGGGTACGGAGCGGTATTAATTACTTATATCATTCTTCTATGCTTTAATTTGGGCACAATTAACTTTTTTTGTGGCATAAGCCGGTAAACGAGCAGACGGATCACCTGATGGTAAGCAATCGGCGGCCTTTTGGGGATTAGAAGTTTGAGGATCGTTGGGGATTCAGGAATTGGGGAGATTGGGGAAGGGGATGGTAATTGGGCCTCCGGTAACCTCACTCACACGATGAAATACAACACAACCGTTGCTTCACATTTGTTTTCTGTGAGACCGTGGTATTACTCCAGTCGAGCCGGCCCATTCGTGCCGAAGCATGGCTCTCCCACACTTATTTTACATTAAGTTCAAATATTCAAATGTGTGAAACTACAATTAGGTAGTTTTTAACCGACTTTAGAAATAATAAAAAGGAGGTTCACAGTTTAAACTGTATGTGTGTGCGCGACTATCTCGCGGTTCGCTGAGTTGAAGTGTTTGTTACACCTTGGAAAAGATTTTAGTATATCAATTGATCTAGGTACTTCAAAAAGAGAGTTGGGGTTGAAGCCGGATTTTTAAACGCAGTTTATATAAGAATTACGAAACCTATCTGTTTAAAACATAACTTGTGTGGATATAATCTTGTTATCTTGATTTTTATTTAGTCTAATTAGTTTGGTCTTTAGAAGGATAATTATATTATCTACATGTATTACTATCAGTGATAATATAGTCGCTACGCTGTGTTATTCTTCGTTAATAGTTTTAAACTCTGACCAAAAAGTATATAAAAGATATAAATTGCAAATTCACAGACATAACATAAATTGACCGTGCCCTATCCAATTGTTGACTAACCTATTGACAAAATACTCATTATGCGTCACTAACTAAATTAGAATCAATTGAAGTTGAAACGTACGACTACAATGAATCAACCAACAGCACATTAACGAAATTGATTTAGATGGATGGAACATTATTCCTATTTTTCCTATCTTATGGTCATTCTTATCATAGGCATAAAGATTAGAGACAAAATGTCTTATATCCAGATACTATACATTACCGTATAAGTATCAAGACAACTATGTCTTGCTTGATTTGGAAAACTGTGGGGCAATTCCATATAAAGTTGTATTTGTCAGGACTAAACAGAATGTCACTTAATCGGAAGTTCTTCGCCATAACATAACATTACATCACGCCTTTTATCCCCAAAGGCATAGGCAGGTATACTTACGGTTACTTATGGCACTTTAATAGTGATGAACACAAGTTGTTTATCATTCACCAAAATATGTGCGTCCAGCTGTTGTACAAAGGTCCTTCTTTTGCCCTCTTTTGGTCTTTATTTAGAAGATTTTTACCATAAAGACAACAGTTGGCTTTAGGTTTGTAGGTACTTAATTAGGCCACTGAAATTAACCAATGATCATCGTTTACTGGTTCCAATTTTAAAACTTAATCCATTAGTAACTACTAAATAACTAACTATCCGCGTGGATTAAGTTATTACATCAATAGTTAGTAATTAGTATTACTAGTTAGTAATGATTATAAAATGAAATAAGTAGTAATTATACTGAACAACTTCGTTTGTCCACTTGGCTTGTACCTAAAGTAATTAAGGCTACTAGGCTGGACATCGGACAGATCAATCACAATGAAGCAGTTGTTCAAACTATGTCGTCCTATGTCAGTTGGCAGTGAATCGCGTCAGTGATCAAATCGTGTGATTGCGTACGAGTGCGTCATTCCGAGTATTCCGACCAAGAAAGATCTGTAGAATGTCTTCAATTAAAGCTATAACAAAAGGCAAATAGAGTTAATATTTCTTACAACTGTCAAGAAACTAAAGTCATATAACACTTCTTCCCATTATAATGTAACTAGGCCTATTCTAAAGTTATCTAGTGCCATGCTTCGGCACGAATGGGCCGGCTCGACCGGAGTGACACCACGGCCTCACAGAAAACTGACGTGAATTACCGGAGGCCCAATTACCCCCCTCCCCATTCCTAATTTCCCCAATCCCTGAATCCCCAACGATCCTCAAACTCCTAATCCCCACAAGGCCGATAACGGACTTGTAACGCCTCTCGTGTTCCAAGTGTCGTGGGGTGTCGATGGGTGACGCCGATTACTTATCATCAGGTGATCCGTCTGCTCGTTCGTTTACCGGCTTATCCCATAAAATAAAACCAGCGAACTCTCTAATCTCTTCGATATTTTTTTTCTTTAATCCGTGGTCGCTCGATTTATATCTTCAATGGCTAACAAAAAAAACGTTCATAGTTTGCGGTTTGCGGTGTATAAGTAACATAATCTTGCTAGACTGTCTGAGGATGCCGGATTGACGTGCGTGCGAAACGGATGTCGGCGACCTCAGAAGTGGGCTCCACGTGTGCCGACCGACGAATTATACAACTATATTTATTTTTGTTCCGTGTTGACTATGGTTATAGATTAGTTTTATAAACAAGAGACCCTTAAGTATACTATGACTATATTGACCTACATTTCATTTAAATGGTTGAGAATAGCTTATAGAGCAGTAACTCTAACGTTAACGTTCGTTAACCCTGTGTCAGCGAGATTGAGAATGTACGGAATCAGTACATATTTTTATAATGTCGCGGGGTGGCCCATTACAACTGAAGTAAAAATGCGTCCATAACTCGTAAAACGGTTTAATCGTTCTATATTTCCTAAATATTATAATTCCATTTTAAGCTTGTAGATGTATTATAATTGTGATTTTACTCAGGTGGTCTCAGGGTTGTTAAAACAAGCAACAAAACCATTAAACCAGTTACTAATGTATTTGCAAAACAACTGACTAGTTTAAACCATTATTTGAAACCTCTAATACAGTTTTTGCTTGTATATTGCAAATCGCTTGAATTAATCAATCCTTTGAACCGGCTGTCTACGGTTGTAAAACGTTATTTCAATGATACATAATTGTTGCGTCGACTTGCTTGCGTCAGTTAGATTGCCTGTACAGTTTTATGTTCAAAGTATTTTAGGGTAGAAATAGCCAGGTGATCTGTGACCTATTTACAGTGTAGACCAGTCTAGATTAATTTAATTTAGTACCTTAATGGATTAGGTTAGGTTCGAATAAACAAGACATAGGGCCTATTTTGAAAGGCCAGATAAATTTTAACTGAGGAATAACTTTAAATATTTGACATTTCTTCCATACAAAATACTATCAAATGTCAATTTTATTTTACAATTAAAAATAACTGGCGATTACAAAATCGGCCCTAAACGATTTTATCATCACTACAACTTTAGTATATTAAAGTACACCGTACCTTTCCTAATTAAATTCGTGTACAAACAAGATTTAAGCAACGTAAATAGCTCTTGCCGAAGTA